TTCACGTTTCGGAGGGGCTTCCTCTGGTTAACTAATTACATGGATACTGAAGTTCTCACCCCTCTAACCCCCTTTCACTGCAACGGATTCATTTTCCTGTTAAGAATTAATTTTAAGCTGTTAACTGTTGTATTATGTGTTTACTCACTGAAAGGTAATCTGTGTTATACTGGGTTTAAATTCCAGTTCACCAGCTACTGGAAATTGGCAATGCTACTGGAAACTCACATGCCCCAGATTTTTCTGTGACGTGAAGACAATGATGTGCTTAACCACAGGTTTAGGTGAGAATTGCAAGGATTAAAGTCTTTTGAAATTCTTCTGGAAAATAACTCAATACAGATTAGCTATGTAAAGCACTAATAATGATTACTACTATTAATCGCACTATTGTCAACAGTTATTATTGATATATTATTTATTAATGATCAACAAACATTAACAAAATATTATTATTAATACTATAACAAAATAGCTAGTATTTATCATTTATCTCCCTCACTGGACTAAAAGGATCTGTTAGACAAGGACCATATGTGATTTTGTTCAAAGCTATATACTGAGTGACTAGTACTACAGTGATTGTTGAATGAGTGAGGCAGTCCTCGGAGGCTTTCCCCCGATGCCAGTGGTGAAAATTCTTGGGCCAGCCAGTGCCCAAGGCTTGACCAGAAAGCAGAAGCCTACAGAGGATTATGTCTTGCTCAAGTCAGGAGGGTGGAGTAGGGAAATGAACTTGAGAAATGTATCCTGCCCAGGCTGGCCCTCTGCTAGTTTTATTTTACCAATGACTAAATATTCAGGCGATTTTTGACTGCCATGCAAAACTTACCATTTCTTTACCATTGTTCATTGGCAAAGCAACTGTGCCTAAACAGTCTTCATTTCACACACTGGTTCCACTCCAAGTTTGTTCCCATGTCTGTGTTAACGACTGCAGCTTTCAGAACCTGCCCCCACAAATACCAAAACACTCTGATGCTCAAGGGCCTTATATAAAATGTATGTAATACAGTTATCCCTCTGTATTTGAGGGTTTCATATCCAGTGATCCAACAGCCCACTGATCCACTTAGGATAACTGTATAGGAGGACATGAAACTGGCAGATACGGAGCACCAACTGTATGAAGCGACTCCGATGACCAACTATCAGAGGTAGGCCTCCTCTAGCTTCTTCTGGGGTGCACATCCGTAGATCTATAAAATTTCACAAGTAGTACTTAAAATTAAAAGTGAGAAAGAAAGCAGTCATGGAGAGCGGGAACTGGGTAGATCATATAAAATCAGTAAAAACATTTCTAGTACTACAGGATGGATAGTCCAAACTACATAGCTTACATATGAATGATAAACATAAATGTGAAATATTCTACTGATGATAAAACAGGCACTTAATTTCTAAGAAAATTATTGTGAAAATACTGCATAGATACCAGGGGAAAAACAGCTTATCTGTTTTGGAAAACAAGGCTGTTACATTTACTTTCAAGTATCCTGGTAAACAAACATTCAAGGTTACAACTTACAATGTATTTTTACGGTAACAATATTTCCCATTAAGCACAACACAATAAATCTTTTTAAGGCTTTTTTGGATGTATTTTCCTCTAAGCTGTATTTAGCCTTGAACAAGGCATCCTGATGAAAAAAAACTTAGAAATTGATGTTGAAAAACAAGAGCTTATGAAATCCCATTTTATCTACAAAGAGACAGCAATGAAAAAGGAGAAAAAACTTATTACAACCAATGAAAAATTGTAACTCCTTTGCTACTAAAAATTCCTTTTATTGTATTAACACACTGTCAGAACATATAAACCTATTTCATATAACAATCAATTCTAAAACAATTACAAAGCTTGCAACACAGCTCTGGAAAAGATCTTAAGAGTTCTCCTGGATGAAAAATTCTCTAAAAATAAGAGAACAACATCTTGAAGGGAAGAACCTAAGAATTCCTTTTCCTATAGAAAATTATTAAAAATATGTATTCAGGGCTTTTAAATCTCAAGTTAGAAAACTCTGATACACATAAAAATAGAATTCATCTTTAACATTTAATATCCAGAGGTAATTTCTGTGTGCATGCGGGCACACAATTATTTGTTCTTTCTTTATGCATGTGGCCGTTAGGAGTTGCTTTAACTGACTTCTGTTTCCTTTTCACGTGCTCCTAATTTTTCTTTTCCTTTCCTTCCTTTTCCATTTCCTTTCTGGCACTATGAGAGAGAGAGAGAGCTCCCTAATCTTCTTGTATTTTTCCAGCCTCAGGCTAGAAATCAGTCATTTTTCCTAAATGACCTTGCCTACACTTACTGGAGAATTGTGTCTGGAAACTAAGAGCTGAGTGTTGGCTGTGCTCATTGCTACTGAGATGCCATTATCTTTACCTCTCTCAGTGGACAAAACTAAAAAATATGAGTATACACACAGCCATACACATGCAGAGATCTAAAGTGCCCAATGCTAGTCCAGTACCTCAGGGTTCACTGTAGACCTCCTCTCTCACTTATTTTTAATGTTTGTTTGTTGTTTGTTTTTAATCTGACAGCTAGAAACCTGGCTACTATAATCTGTAATCTACTGGTTTATTTGATTATCCCTAGGTAGGCTGCTGTCTATGGGGTCACACAGAGTCGGACGTGACTGATGCAACTTAGCAGCAGCAGCAGAATACATGTAAGGCTTCCCAGGTGCCTCAGTGATAAAGAACCCACTTGCAATGCAGGAGATATGGGTTCAATCCCTGGGTCAGGAAAATCCCCTGGAGAAGGGAGGGGCAACCCACTCCAGTATTCTTGCCTGGGAAAAGCACATGGACAGAGGAACACGACAGGTTACAGTCCATAGGGTAGTAAAGAGTTGGAAGTGACCAAGCTTGTATGCAGAATACATGTAGTTTCAGAACTGCTAACCCCTACTCTTGTGGGAATCAATTTAATAATTAATTTACGCTATTTATATATGGTTCTCTTGTCAGTAGCCTTATAATATTCAGTGAAAACACTGCTTCCAAAGTTACTTAAGTTAGTTCCCTTTCCCCCCCATTTCCTTGAAGTCATATCATATAGTTATAATATGTTTAGATTTATATGTCACCACTATATGTAGTCCACGCTAGGATCCCTTCACATACTGGTTGATCTTTTTAATTCTGCATACATTAGAGTCCTCTGGAAGGGTTTTGACAAACGCAAGGAGTAATATACCCAGTAATCCAATTTCATACAGTATGATTCCATAACCCTAAAAATTCTCCTTTGTAATCAATCTATTCCTTCTCCACCAACTCCTTTGATGGTTTAGAAAGTTATTAACTTTAGTTTTTTCCTATTAAGAGTGGGGACAATATTCTGTATTCTGACTTCTTCAAACTGATTCCAGAAGTCTGGCCAACTGATTGCTGATAAAGGTTTCAAGGCAGTTCAGTGAAAAATTATATTATTTTCAACAAATTATAATGGAACAACTGGAAATCATATACTCTTTAAAACTGACCACTATTTCATACTATTCTCAAACGTTAACTCAAAATGGAATATAGATCTAAATGTTTAATCAGAAACTATAAAATTCTTAGAATAAAATCATTAAAAGTCTGATGTAGACAATATTTTCTCAGAACACAAATAATAAAAACCATAATATGCATCTATAGATACGTACAGATAGATAATTACATATCTATATCTGTAAACTTGATTTCATGAATCTGAAATCTGTTGCTTTCTTAAATACATTGCCATAAAAATGTAAAAGCAATCCACAGATTAGGAGAAATATTTATAAGACAGCTCAGATCAAGAATGTCATGCATGCATAATACGTAAGTAGATATATAAGTGGCCAATAAACACATGAAAAAAATGCACAGTATTATTACTTATGAGAGAAATCATGGATTAAAATCTCAATGAAATACCACTATAAACAGATTAGAGTTATTAAAATTAACTGTAAAAACTCCTACCATGCTGTGGACCAACTTGAACTCTCATATACTACTAGTAAAAATATAAGTGGTACAACCACATTGGAAAATAACTTGGTAGCTATTAATACTTAAAAAGTTAGACATGCACATATTATCATTCTTTGGTATTTACCCAAAACAAATGGAATTTATGTGTAGAAAGATGTATACATCAAAGCTCATAAAACTTTCACTTCAATAGTCCAAAACTAGAAACAAAGTACCTATCATAAGACAAATAGGTTAACTAATTGTGGTATATCTATATTTTTTTTTAAAGGGTAGGGGGGCACCACAAACCACTGATAACAAGGAAAGCATCTCAAAATGTTTATTCTGATGGAAAGAAGTCAGAAAAACATGTATGTATGTATATATATATACACACACACACATGCCACACGATCCTATTTACAAACAATTCCTCAAAATGTAAACTAACCTGTGGTGACAGAAATGTATCAGTGGTTGCCTGAGGAAATTAACACTGCGTACAAAGAAGCTTTTGAGGGTGATAGAAATGTTTGCTATCTTGATTGTGGTGGCTTTACATATTATACACCTACATAGCAGTAAAACTGTACAGTTTTCTGTACTTCTAATACGCTTTACTAACCATTTACATTAAACACTTTATTATAAACTTACCAAGTAGGCGATAGGTACTGGAGGGCGGAAGCCGGACCTCCAAAATCCCAGCATGCCCTTGGGCCGTCACCAAGATGGTGGTGCCCAGGTTTCGGGTCTTTACCCATAGTAGGTGGTTCGGTGCCCCGAGCCCTACAGGAGTCTTGCCCCTGGAGCTGCAAGAGGCCCACTCTGGTGCTCAGGGGCTGCCAGCTGTACAGGAGGCTCCGGTTCTAAGATTTCTCCCCGAAAGGGGGACAAAGATGGCGCTCCCGGGGCTCTTCCACGGTGGCAGGGCCGGCCGCGTTTTAGTCTCCATCGCTCCATCGCAGTCTAGACCCCTGGCCTGTTGACTTGGTGCATCTTGCGGGGCCCCTGCTGGCGCTGCTGGACCAGCTTCACTTCCAGCGAAGAGGCTGCTCGGTGACTGTGCTGAGGCCCAGAGCAGCCCGAACTTGGGATGCTGGCTGCAGAACGCGCGGGAAGCTGAGCGCCGCGCCCAGGGCTCCAGGATCCGGCGGCTCCTCAGCAGAAGCTCTGCCCTGATGGGCGGACCTGGGCGGCTTCCCAGAGCTGGTCAGCTCGGCCTGGTATCCAGTCGGCCTGGTACCGCTGCCATTCCTGAACCGGGAGGGGCAGACGCGTGCGCAGAAGCATCAACATGGGCTCCAGAGCTTGGAGTTTTTAGGAGTTCTTACACCTGATGTTCCAGGTCGATGACTTTTGATGCAGCTTCGAGTGTTCTGGGTGCATCTGGTCAGCTGGGCCACATCGTATGCGGTGCGAATTCATCCACAAGTTGACTGGAAAAAGCCGCGTTTGGAATCACTGTTCCCCTCATTACAAGTACATGTGGATGCAAACCTGAAGCGTTGGCTGGCAGTGCTGTTTGCCTAAACAGTTAAGACACCTCCCATGGAATTGTATCAGTGCTTTGTCAGGCAGAGAGATGATTGGGTAAAAAGTATCCGATGCTCCTCACTTTAAAAAAAAAATATACCGGAGGTCATGTCTGATCAAAAGTTGAAAGAGTTGTTTAAAGAGGTTTTCATTTTCCAAATTAATTCTTAACCTTCTGACAAGTTTCCTAGAAACATGCTGCAAAACAAATGCCATTCTAGGTGGCCCCCGAGGGTAGGTGGAGTCGGTATTAATTGCAGACAAGTTACAAATCCTGAGAGTGAGTTGTTGGAACACATATTCTTAAGAAATGACTTTAATTCTTAATGTTAGAAAAGGGATCTTTACACCATAATATGGCTTCAGCTCTGATGAAAAATCCTCGTGGTTCAAACAAACATCCATCATTCATTCTCTGGATGTAAGAAGGAACTTATACCTCTGCTTATGCAAATCAGAACAACAGAGAATGGCATCGACTCTAGGCTTCAAACTGTAAGTAATTTCATTATTCCTGTAGGTTAGTTAATATAAGGTGTTTATGTGATGATGGAGTAATTTATTTCCTGATCTGCAAACATCAACTATCATAGAAAACCATAATTTCCTGGGTTAATCTTTTTTTTTTTAATTATACTTCACAAAAAAATTAAATGTATTTCCTCTCCCACCCTTCTTGCTCTAACTTTTGGAGTTGGAGAAACAATGGGAAAGAGGTAGTGTGGGGATTGTGGTTACTGTATATCAGGTATGTATCTCCCTGGTCTCACGAGCGTTTTATTGCTTTTCTATAATAAAATTAATAGCTCCTCTAATGTCCACATTAGGAGTGCAAAATTTAGTATTTGAAACATGAATTTCTGATTTTTCCATTATTTAGGAAGTAAATATAGTTTTTCTTGAGAAGAGGAAACCATGGTTGTCATTGAAAATTGCAATAGAAGTAATTTTTCAAAGAAAACAACAAAAATCAGTACTTGACTTTTCATAAGTTTCTAATTTCAGTTTTCCAGTCCCTCACCTGTTTCAGTATAGTTAAATTTATTCATCGCCTTAAAGAAGAGGAAAGTATCCAGTGAAAATTACTGAACTATAAAATTTGTCATTAAATTAATATCAACTTGGATACAACTAGTTAAAGTTTCCAAAAACTTGAAGGCGGATGGAAGTGTTATTCAAAGTGAATAGTATAAAGAAAACGAACCAAGAGACAGTAGTCTAGCTGTGGGACAGTTTCACGCTAGCTAATGCACATGTAGGGCTTCCCCTGATGGCTCAGTGGTAAAGAACGCCCCTGCCAATGTAGGAGACAGGGGTCTGATCCCTGGGTCAGGAGGATCCCCTGGAGAAGCAAATGGCAACCCCCTCCAGTAATCTTTCTTGGGAAATCCCATGGACAGGGGAACCTGGCAGACTACAATCCATGGGGTCACGGAAGAGTTGGATGGGACTTAGTGACTAAACAACCACCACAAATGCACTTGTAATTAGAGTTTGAAAAGGAGAGTGGGAAAAAGAAAAAAAAAAAAAAAGAGGGGGGAATCGGAGGAAAAAACTAAAATTACTTGTTCCAGTTAAGTGTTACAAAGAGAGAACTTTAGTACTAAAGTTGCTATGCTATACTCAGTCACACAGTCATGTCCAATACTTTGCGACCCCAGGACTCCAGCCCTCCAGGCTCTTCTGCCCATGGGATTCTCCAAGCACAAATACTGGACTGGGCTGCCGTTTCCTCTTCAAAGGGCATCTTCTGGACCCAAGGACTGAACCCTGGTCATTGTGCCTCCTGTATTGGCAGGCAGATTCTTTACCGCAGCGCCTCCTGGGAAGTTCAGTATTGAAGTTAGTGAGTCTAATTAGTAAGTGTAACAAGTATTAGAACTAATGTGTTACCTGCCTAAGGTGCTTTGCTAACACACCTAATTCATCTACAGAGGCATCTCCAATATAACTGCCTCCACTCCTGCAATAGACATCAATGCCTGGTCATTCCTTTGCATTCACTAATTTTACAGTATTACACTGGTATCATTGCCCACTTAACAAGTTAGTGTAAATTTTATTTACATGTCTGTTTCTGCCACTATAAAACTAACTGGGGTAGGGACACTGTCTTGTTTAAGTTTATTTATCTGGTATCTAGCACTGTGAGCACTCACGGTTACTCTTAAATGCTTATTTTTCAAGTAGAAGAAATAATATAAGATTCAAACTGATAAAACACAAAGAAGGAAAATGCTGAGCGAGGATTTAATACTGTAAACCCCCAATGGATATGAGAAGTTACTCAATAAAGGAGAAAGAGGGCATATTATTATGTACATTTTATACATTATTCCTGTGGTCCCTTAAAATTGATTTAGGGTATCATGGAAAACAGTCCACATTTTGAGCTGTTGGAAAGCATGGCTTCTGAATCAGAACATATGGGTTGTTTAGTGTTTGTGTCTAAACATGTGTTTCATTGGAGTTCATCTCTTTTTTCCTATCTGATAAGAAGTTAAATTGGTTAGCATGGGTCTCTCATCTATTCTGTGAACTTTAATCTACTTTGGGCTTAAACTGTTTCATCTTCTCATTTTAAAATAATTTAAAAGCAATTGTCTCTACCATGCAGTAGGACAGCTACCTCACATGGGAGGCTGACTGACCTGCAGAGAGTGTAGTGGGTATCCTCGGAGGCTTCTCTACTGGGACAGGGATAACTCATGAATGTGGAGTCATTGTCTGAGATTTTCCTTTTGGGAGAGAGGGACATGGTTTAAATGCCCCTGTTTGTCTTTTAGGGAATTCTCATATTACACATAAAAGTCTCACTACAAAATGTGAGACTGGGATTTTTGCGGTGCCATACCATCTCTTGCTTCCTGTTTTAGGTAAATCACTACATCACACTTGGGCCATACATGAGTACCTTGCATGACCTGTACAGTTAAAAAAAGAAGGTGCCTAAAATGGCCTGTTGGTGAGGATGTTAAGTATCAGGTGGAGTGGACTGCTTGCCATTTAATATTCTTTCAGCTCTAGGACTGTATGATGCTCAGGGATCAGGAATCTCAAAGAATAATGGACATGCATGTATGCTTAGTTGCTCAGTCATTTCCAGCTCTTTGCAACCCCGTGGACTGTAGCCCACCAGGCTCCTCTATCTGTGGGATTTCACAGGCAAGAACATTGGAGTGCATTGCCGTTCTCTTCTCCAGGGGATTTTCCTGACCCAGGGATTGAACCCACGTCTTCTGCATTGGCAGGTGGATTCATTACCCCTGCTCCACAGTGTCCTCAAGTAATAATGCTGACTGAACAATAATTTCTAGAGAGTACTAGTATCTAACACTAGTGGGCCTTAGGAACCATCACTTTGAACAAAGCTAGTGGAGGTGATGGAGTTCCAGTTGAGCTATTTCTAATCCTAAAAAATGATTCTGTGAAAGTGCTGCAGTCAATATGCCAGCAAATTTGGAAAACTCAGCAGTGGCCACAGGACTGGAAAAGGTCAGTTTTCATTCCAATCCCAAAGAAAGATAATGCCAAAGAAGGCTCCAACTAATGCGCAATTGCATTCATCTCACACACTGGCAAAGTAATGCTCAAATTTCTCCAAGCCAGGCTTCAACAGTATGTGAACCATGAACTTCAAGATGTTCAAGCTGGCTTTAGAAAAGGCAGAGGAACCAGAGATCAAATTGCCAACATCTGCTGGATCATCAAAAAAGCAAGAAAGTTCCAGAAAAACATCTACCTCTGCCTTATTGACTATGCCAAAGACTTGGACTGTGTAAATCACAACAAACTGTGGAAAATTCTTCAAGAGATGGGAATACCAGGCCATCTGACCTGCCTCTTGAGAAACCTGTATGCAGGTCAAGAAGCAACACTTAGAACTGGGCATGGAACAATAGAATGGTTCCAAATCGGGAAAGGAGTATGTCAAGGCTGTAAATCGTCACCCTGCTTATTTAACTTATATGCCGAGTACATCATGAGAAATGCTGTACTGGAAGAAGCACAAGCTGAAATCAAGATTTCCGGGAGAAATATCAATAACCTCAGATATGCAAGTGACACTACCCTTATGCCAGAAAGCAAAGAACTAAAGAGTCTCTTGATGAAAGTGAAAGAGGAGAGTGAAAACGTTGGCTTAAAACTCAACATTCAGAAAACTAAGATCATGGCATCTGGTCCCATCACTTCATGGGAAATAGATGGGGAAACAGTGGAAACAGTGACAGACTATTATTGGGGGGCTCCAAAATCACTTGCAGGTGGTGACTGTAGCCATGAAGTTAAAAGACACTTACTCCTTGGAAGAAAAGTTTTGATCAACTTAGACAGCATATTAAAAAGCAGAGATATTACTTTGCCAACAAAGTCCATCTAGTCAAAGCTATGTTTTTTCCAGTAGTCATGTATGGATGTGAGAGTTGGACTGTGAAGAAAGCTGAGCACCAAAGAACTGATGCTTTTGAACTGCGGTGTTGGAGAAGACTGTTGAGAGCCCCTTGGACTGCAAGGATATTAAACCAGCCCATCCTAAAGGAGATCAATCCTGGGTGTTCATTGGAAGGACTGATGTTGAAGCTGAAACTCCAATACTTTGGCCACCCAATGGAAAGAGCTGACTCATTGGAAAATACCCTGATGCTGGGAAAGATTGAAGGCGGGAGGAGAAGGGGATGACAGAGAATGAGATGGTTGGATGGCATTACCGACTCGATGGACATGAGTTTGGGTAAACTCTGGGAGCTGGTGATGGACAGGGAGGCCTGGCGTGATGCAGTCTGTGAGGTCACAAAGAGTTGGACACGACTGAGTGACTGAACTGAGTATCTAACACTTAGTGGCTAGAATTTTAAAAATGCTTTTAAATTCTAACAAAACATGTGCTTATA